ACTGACAGCTTTAAGGATTTATGATGTTAAATTCCGTTGGTGGAGGGACAGGTTCAGGTTTTGGTGCCTTATTATTAGATAAATTATCAGTTGATTATTGTAAAAAATCTATATTGACCGTAAATATTTATCCATCACAAGAAACGTTTGTTTCTATGGTTGAACCCTACAATTCTATTCTTGCAACATAATTTTTGATAGATCATGCTGATGTTTGTATAACTATGGATAATTAAGCAATTTATGATATTTGTTAGAATAAACTTGATATTGAATTACCAAAATATTCTAATTTGAATAGGATAATAGCTCAAGTGATGTCATCAATTACTACTTCTATGAGATATGATGGAGCATTATTGAGGGATATGGCTGAATTGGAAACTAGTTTAGTTCCTTATGCCAAGTTAAAATTTTTGATCTGTTCTTATGCTCCGATAATATCCCATTAAAAGGTGGATCATATGCAGCTTTCGACTGTTGAAATTGCAAAACTTGCTTTTGAAACAACAAACATGATGGCAAAATGCGATCCAAGATTGGGGAAATATATTTCATGCTTATTATTATTTAGAGGAGATATCATTCCTAAGGATGTGAGTTCCTCGATTTTCTAAATTAGGACTCATAAAACTATTCGATTTGTTGATTGGTGCCCAACTGGTTTAAAAGTAGGAATTGACTACCAATTCTAATAAACCTTACCAAAGGATGATATTCGTAAAGCTTTAAGATCTGCTTGCATGATTGGAAATACAACTGCTGTGTCATAAGTCTTTTCAGATGTATGCTATAAATATGATTCAATGTTTGCAAAAAGAGCCTTTGTGCACTGGTATATTAACGAAGGTATGGAGGAAGCATAATTCGTAGAAGCAAGAGAAGAATTAGCATTCCTATAAAAGGATTATGAGGAAGCAGATTCAGCAATAAATGAAGAGAATTAAAAAGAAAATGCAGGAGTATGAAAATTGATTAACATATTATAATATATAGAAAACAGCACAAAAATAGCTTCTAGTCAATGTAATAGATTAAAGAGTAGAAATTGTGTATGTAGAAAATCAATAAGTACTAATAGATTATTCATAATTTTCCCACTTTAAGAGATAGTATATTTACAATTTTCATATGCACATGAATAAATCGACAAAGATTCCTTAATAAAATAAAAGTATCACATTATTTTAGAAAAACAAAGGTGATTAAACAAATAAGAATCAGCGGAGTTGTTTAGTAACTAATTAGCGAGAATATTGATAATTATTATATTTCTAAAGTGAAATAATGAATAACAAGATAGCGTTCCATTTATTTCTAAGCAATTTTAGGATTTTTTTTTTGGATCAAAACTCTCTAAATTAAACCTAAATTAGTAGATTTCACATTAGTTTATCTAATGTAATTCTACGCTAGAATTTTCTTAATGAAATCAGTAACATTTTTATAATGAATCATTTAATATGTTTGAATTCCCATTTCTAAGTTTGACTATATTTTTTAATTCTATAAAAAGTCAGCATGAATATCAACTATTTGGAGAAATTTCTTTTATAATAATCAATGTAATCATAAAAAATTATTCATAAAAAATAATTTTGCTTTCTTAAAAATATATTACTTTTAGATCAGATTTTAAATAGTATTCAATCTTTGAAACTTTTATAGACCTTACTTAATTATTCTTATAATTACATTAAATTTATTCATATGTTGGTATGAATTTTTAAGTGTTTTCCTTTTGCTCTGATTCTAATTATTTGAAATTAAGAATATTAAATTGATAATCATATCTATGATAGGAATTTAATTTTAAAATATTGATCATATTTCAAAACTAAAAATACTTTATAAGTACTTTACAACATTAAGAATAAATAATTTGTCTAAATTTCTTATCATTATTTGATGATTCAAAATTACACCATCGATTGAGGGATTTTTTGAATACCAATAATTATTCAGTATAGTCAAAATCATTATAGACATTTAAGATTGAGGAAAAATTAATGAAGCAATAATAATATCGATATTTTGACTTAGTTGAAAATACCTGATTGCAAAATTGTAGGATAATAATAATTTTAGGATTACTTTTGATGAAAAGGGAGAAAATGAAATGTGATAGACTTTTTCAGAATGAATGCAAAATTTTGACTTGAAAACAGGAAACCTTGAAATTTATCCCAAAAATAAATCTGAAGGATGGGGGCTATAAGCGATATAAAACATAAATTTAATTGGTATAATAAAATAGAATCTCGTATTTAAAATAGTAATATTAGAAATATTTCTAATAAAATAAAAAGAATCAAATAGATGGTGAGTGTGCAATTTATTTACTCAATAACTATATGTTTAATTTATATGAGTAATTATATACATTAAATTTAAATTTATGAGTAGGGTGTTAAACAAATTGATAATTCATTTTTAAGATGTAAGATATTGAGATAAAAATTCAGACACCTTTAAGGCAACTCCTAGGTAAAATGATTTTAAAATACAATAAGAAATCTACCTGTCAACCCAAAATATTTTTAATATCAATGTATAGCTTCTTGTAAAATTTTCGTTAGTGGTTGATGATATACTATTTAATTAAATAACATTGAAAGTGTGATGCTTAAGCTTTATAATTCCGAGCGGATTCAGTATATAATGGGTTTTAAGCAATTGAAAAAGTGAAACTCAAATGTAATCACATTCTTAACTATATAAATTAATATTAATGGAGATTGAAATTAAAGTAAAGAATGGATTTCAAACAAGCAGACAAAGAAATTTATTAGTAATAATTTCTTAGATTTTGATATTAACTTAAAAATAATCTACAATTTTAATGAGTTCTTCTTATAATACTTAAGAAAGTTAAATTAAATGGTCGAAATTGGATATAGACACATTTCTACCCAAGCCTATCAATCAGGACGAATTAGAAGTATTACAAATTCTCATTAATTTATCAATAATTTGAATTAAATAGTTTAATATCAAAGAACTTGTCAAATGAAAACCTTTTTTTTTCTTTTAACAATTGTAAAGTAATAAATATATATAGATTTGTTTTATTTAAATATTATATACAACTCTTTCTTCCATATGCTAAAAACACCTCATAATAATAATGTAAATGATTATTCTATATCTTGTTAAAAATTATGCCTTAAATTCCAGTTAGCTATACAATTAAAACTTATTCATTAATTAATTACAACAATATGCTTATATTTATCATAACTCATCATATCTTCTGATTTAAATTTCTGTTGATTTATTATCCCAAGTCATCAAATACTCTCCATCTTCAGTCATTTATCCAAATAAATAGTATGTTCCAAAGTCAATCTAATATTCATTTATAAAGTCACTCTCTCCTCTTTACCTTAAGATGTTTATATTTTAGCCATTCTTATTTAAAAGGATGCTTTTAGTTTTAATAAATTATTATGGGAATAAATAACTATCGCCTGAACTGCCACCCTTAACATCAATCTCTTTTAATTTGGAATACTAGTGATTATTATTCCTTTAGAAAACAAGCATAGTATCTTGGGAATATGGTTAAAATGTAAATAAATCATTATTAATAAAGCATAATCTATCGCCATACTATTCGACCATTATCTATTATATTACTGTCCATATTTAATTCTTTTAGGACTACTCCAATATTAATATTTATTTATCTCCTCCACAAGATATCATTCGATTTTACTGTTCATTCAAACTTAATCCTGATATCCAACTTGTATGTTCTGTTATTGTTTATTGACATTACCATTCATTTTTCTTAATCCAAAACTTAATTGTCTTATCAGGACTACCTGTTATGATAAGATTTTCGGTATTATCTAAAATCATGCATCTAATATAGTGTGTATGGCCAATAAGCTTTTATTAGCAAAACCATTCATTATTTTAATTTAGGGACCAAATCTTTATTGATTTATCAGCACTTCCAGATATAAACTGAGCTGACTTCTTCATGAATTAAAGAGTATGAACATCGTTCTAATGTTCGCTAAGAACTTAAATTTGTTTCAATTATCCTTAAGAAAATTCAAAAACTTTGATGAGATTATTGCATCCAGCCACAACTAATGTACAATCTTTATTGAAAGCTATTGCTCTACAAAATTCATTTTATTTAATAGAATATTTTTCTATTTTTTTATATGAGAAAGGTTTAAATTGTTATAACTTTTCTTTACTTGAAATTAATTGTGATGATTATTATTAATCTTGGATATTTAGTTTACTCTTTTTCATTTGAATTGATAATTGTTATTCCTATTATTTATGTTCTAAAACTATGGAATTTTGATTTAATTAATCAATAATGTCAGTGCTTTAGCTAGCAATATTATTTGCGCTCTAATATTGTAATTAAAGTGTAATACTGCTGTTCTTATCCAATTACTTACATACTAAATGAATGATTTAATCAAAAAATATTGCTTATAATTCTTACAACTATTTCATGGTATCTTTAGCAATCTCATAAACTAAATTTTCTTTTATACTAAATTCATCAAATAAGGGATCCTCTAAAATACTTGATTAATTAATTTAACTCAAATCATTAGCAATTGAAATCATTTACTCCTTAGTCATTGATTACCAGGATAGACTTCCTAAATAACTGATTGTCTAATTAACTTATAAAATATAATCCTCATAATTTAGACTCAGTTTGTTTAATGCATTATCTATTGCACAATTAAATCCTTTTTGAATTGCTATAAAATATCCCTTAATTGAATTCAATTTAATTTTTAAGATTTCAACATGGTTATTCATTTTCTCTATTCTTTTTTATGATATCTAATGCCACATAAACTAGGCTCTTTTGATTGATGTATATTAATTTATCGTTCCATCTAAACAATCCAAGCATCCTATACGTTTTTAGACAGATCTTTCTGAACTTAAATTAAATAAAGTAATTTATTTATTATGATCTTCACAAAAGAGAGAAAGTTCCTAAATTAATATATAAGATTACTTCATCATTATTTTTATTTTCTTTCAAACTATGTGATTCAAATCTAATAGGCTTACTAAGATTATTTTCAAGGAGACTTAAACACTTTTTCACTATATCTGTTTCCTTTAAACCCAAAATCAAGTCATTAATTTACCTTATTCTATCAATCTAATCTTGACTTTATGCATATTATTACTCCTTTATAAACTATAATAATAAAGGAAAATCAATTAATTCCTCTTATTATAGTTTATTTATAAACGCATCTTCTGCATCCAAAAGCTATTATTACCAGATTTTAATAGTTTAGGAGATCTGACCTATTTAATGCATGTAAAAACTTCTTAATTATTCTACAGAATCATTTAAATTATTCAAGCATTGCAATTTTAATTAAATTTAAGTGGATCTATCTGACTGGATGAACTATTTTGCTTATTTTATTTAATTTATGGAAATCAAATTTTGTTTTACATCCTGTGTATTATTTTTTCCATTACAATTCGCGCATAACTTCTTGTTTTCTATATCCTATTATTTTTCCCATGTCTAAAATGTATCTCCATTTTTGTTTATATATCCATCTTAACCTTCGTATTAGTTCATTCTAAGAATTATTATACCATCCTAGCTCTCGAGACATTGAAGGTAGTCTTTCGCA